ATTGGATGTTTTGCTAACAGACACATAATCACATGCACAGGCAAAACATTATCATTCACCTTTCACTTTTTGGCAAAAGCTGAATAATTATTAGTTTCTTTCAGAAGGTGGTGTTTTGAAATGTGAATGATCTGCTGCCATCTAGTGTCCCCCAACTAAATAACTTCCCTCTTAGGTGCCAAGAACACTTACCAGCAAAACCTGTTCCAATATAGTCCATATCTTTAATTTTATTAGAAAAAAATCATGTCTTATCAGACATTTATGTCTGGAAACTGTGAAGCACGTTTATTTCCACTTCACACCTCTCACTTTTTTTAAATTTTTATATTGTATTTTGTTCCTATACCCAGATTCTCTGATTTCCCTTCACTGAATCAGACTCTTCACTACCTTGAAATTTCCCAAGAAGGTGTTGGGAGATGTAGAGCCCTGCCTGAAACTGCCTTGTCATTGGATTGCCTGCATTCCTGTGGCTGGCTCCTACTTGCCTGCAGACTATTTATACAGCTTCAGATGAGGCCCTCGCTACAAATTGGACGCACACATCCTGAGCTTTTGGATTTTTGACCTTCTGATTGCACACAATGAAATTTCAATTTCAAAACAGAACTTATCAACATGAACATACGGAAATCTATTTGATCTCAAAAATACCTGACTGGCAGTTATGATTGCAAATGATAACGCCAAAATTTTATTAGTTCAAATGTAAGTTAGAATATGGTTAATATAAATGTGTATGGGATCACCTAAACATTTAGGAACCAAAGGTGTGCACTTCAGCAAAACAATTTCATTAAACAGTAAAACTTTAATTTCTTCAGGTATGACTCCCTAGTAAACAGTGAGCTGAGCTGTGAAGTTGACACACCTAGAAACAAGAGAGGAGTGTATTTATAGTTTGCTGATGAACTCCAAATAACAAGAGGCAGGGGGTGAAGTAATAACACTTTATCCAGGCATAAATGATTCACTTGCCATAACTTCATTGGAATAATGTGCTAACACAGGCTGGAAGTTCCCCCGATAAGAAACAGTCATCTGTTTGTTAATACATGTAATCTTGCCAATCTAGACCCCCCCCCTTCCCCCACCTCATTAATTTTATCAAAAGGTCTAATTAGACAACAGTTCTCATGGATATCATCTCCGGATTCAGAATATCAGTCAAGCATTTTCAAAACTTGTCATTATTTTTTTCTCTCTTTGTTGTACAAAGGACAAAAACAGAGAACTAACAACAGAATGTATCACATAACATGCATTACCTGATTATTGTTAAAGATAGAAAAGGAAAATAATATAATGTATATATACATACTGTATATACATAAATATACACATGTTTTTTGGATGATTGTTTCCTCTGGTATCAGATGCTGTGCAGCTGGAAGGATTTTTACTGAAACTGTTTTAGTTTTGGACATTTGTTATGATGCGTAACCATGGCAACAAGGCAGTTTTCTACAACCAACAGCAGCTGATTAACATCTTAAAAGCTAAAATAATATCTCAACTACAGCCCCAAATCTCAAATGATTTGAAAAGGATGTTCTGTGGACGCATTCTCATCTACCTGCAGCTGTGCTCGAGTGCCTGACCACTGAGATCCTGGAACTAGCAGGAAACACGGCTCATGACAGCGGAAGGACAGGATCGTCCCTCGGCACCTGCAGCCGGCTGTCTGCAGTGATGAGGAGCTCGGCAGACTGCTGGGAGGAGTGGCCATCGCTCTGGGAGGAGTTCTGCCCAGCATTCAGGTTGTTCTACAGCCCGGGGGAACCAAGAGGCCAGCCGAGTTTGGGTGGACGGATCGGACGGCATCTGCAGCCAATTTCTTAGGATCCACTGTGGGATGGACCTTTACAAGAGATCCTTCCAGTCTACAGCCACCAGTATCTATAGCATATCTTAATGAATTGAGAATAACGAGTTACAAAAACAAATAATTTCCCTTTGGGATTAGTAAAGTATTTTTGAATTGAATTGAATTGAATTGAATACATACATATATATATATATATATATATATATATATATATATATATATATATATATATATATGCACACACACACACACACCTTTCTGGGTGGAATTTGTATGTTCTCTCCGTGCATGCGTGGGTTTTCTCCGTGTACTCCAGTTTCCTCCCACAGACCAAAAACATGCATGTTAGACTGATTGGTAACTCTAAATTGTCCCTAGGTGAGTGAGAGAGACAGAGAGACAGAGAGAGAGAGAGAGAGAGAGAGAGAGAGAGAGAGAGAGAGAGAGAGAGAGAGAGAATGGTTGTTTGTCTCGTTTGTCTCTATGTGTCCCTGTGATGGACTGGAGACATGTCCAAGGTGTCCCCCATCTCTCATACAGTGCCTGCTGGATATAGGCACCAGTGACCCGAAAAGGAAGAAGTGGGTAAAGATAATGAATGGATGAATTAATTATTTTTTCAGTTAAAAATTGTTTAACACATTTTATTAAATAATAGAGGGCAGCACGGTGGCGCAACTGGTAGAGCTGCTGCCTCTCAGCGAACAGGTTCCTGGTTCAAACCCCGGTCCATGGGCCTTTCTGGGTGGAGTTTGCATGTTCTCTCCGTGCATGCGTGGGTTTTCTCCGGGTACTCTGGTTTCCTCCCACAGACCAAAAACATGCATGTTAGGCTGATTGGTAACTCTAAATTGTCCCTAGGTGTGAGTGAGAGAGTGAATGGTTGTTTGTCTCGTTTGTCTCTGTGTGGCCCTGTGATGGACTTGTGACCCGTCCAGGGTGTACCCCGCCCCTCGCACAGTGATTGCTGGACATGGGCACCAGTGACCCCCGTGACCCAAAATGGAATAAGCGGGTAAAGAAAATGGATGGATGGATTAAATAATAGGCAAAACAAAAATAGAGATAATGATAAATTTCTACTGAAAATATAATAAAAAGTGTTTACGTTTAACAACTTTTTTATGAGGCAAGAATAGAGTAGACTGCAGTGTACAAAGTGGAATAAAGAAAAAAAAAATTTTGAAATAAAAATAATTTTTGTTAATATGTTTATTTGATTGTTTTGAGAAAAAAAATCAAACCTACAAATTTGATTCATTGCACAACCTTAATTATATATACACAACTTCACTGAATTAACAGAACAAGTTAAAATTTAATTTAGGCCTATAGATATTTTCTCTAACCCACATAGAGTCAAAATATATACATGCCATTCATCTAAATCTTTGAGGTCAAGGTCAAGGTTACTTTATTGTCATTCACATCATATGTGGTACATGTGGTGGAACAAAATTGTGTACACAAGGTCCCAGTTACATCCAACAAAAGTATAAATTGTACAGAAAAATAGCAATAAGATCTAAGATATGAACTAAGAAATACGTTAAACTGAAACTACGCTAAGCAGTAGTATAGTACAGAATCAATACGCTGAACAACAGCAGCACAAACATGAGTCTGTGTGAGCAGATGAGTACGAATGAATACAGCAGCATGAAATAAATCAGCAGCATGAGATCAGCAGCACGGGTAGTCAGTACCACACATCAAGTGGCATTACAGTGATTTACCTGGTTAGGGATTCATAAATCGTACACCCTCAGGGTAGAAGCTGTTCCTCAGTCTAGTGGTTCTACACTTAATGCTCCTCAATATCCTGCCTGAGGGGAGCGGGGCAAGAAGTGTTTGTGCTGGGTGAGTGGGGTCCTACATGATGCAGGTGGCTCTCTTCCTGCATCTGGAGGTGTGGATGTCTGTGATGGTGGGGAGGCTGAGTCCAAGTCCAACGGAGCAGTTTTTAATAAGTGATACTGATGGTTAGAGACTGACCATCAGCTGATGATTAGTGTGATAGCACTTCCTGGATTGACCAATACTCAGAACAAAGTGAAAGTCCAAGGAGTTCACAGAAATAATATAAAAAGGAGAGAAAAATGGACCACCACTGTGAGGGAGCACACCAAGAAAGAGCTCAATGGACAAGACAAAATGACTTCTGGAAGCAGATTCTCTTGGATTAGCCATCATTAGCGTGTACTAAAAGGATAGTTGTGTTCAAACTAGCCTTAGATCATGAGCTTTGTCAGATCTAAAGTCAAACTCTCCATACCAAGGATGTTTGTAGAGCTTAACAAGTAAGATGCTATTTGTTAATTTTTCCACCAAACCTCACTTTAGACAGACTTAAATATCCTTTTAATTGATCAATGATTCTCTAAAAGTGACAAATGGTAAATGGAGTGTACGTATATAGCGTCTTTCTATCTAATCAAAATACTCAAAGCTCTTTACAACACAATCTGTGCCTAAATTTACCTCCAACACACACATTCATACAGCACTCTACTAGATCTCTACAAAGATCATCTGAATCTGTAGAGCCCAATTGGAGCTTTAGATCACATTCATACACTGATGGGACACACATCGAAGGCAATGAGGGGTTCAGTGTCTTGCCCAGGGGCACTTCAACATGTGACTGCTGGTGGAGCCGAACCCCCAACTATACCACTGGAGGACGACTGCTCTAACCTCTCAGCCACAGCCGCCCAAACTGACACAAACTGTCCCTCGTTCGTGACCCCTCTTGGAAACAAAGCCTTTGGTAAATCTTTTCACCCAGTCCTGACACCTTAGCTGTTTGTTGCCATCAGAATCCCTATTGATTCTGATGGCAACAAAGTTTTACAGAAGAAAAAAAACATTCTTATAAAATACAGTAACAAGTAGGGAAACAGCCTAATACATTTTAGAAAGGTTTGGCTGAACTTCTTCTTTGTTTTACAAATAAAAAATGACAAGAGAGAGAGACAAATATTAAACTGGAACATGTTCCAGTATACCATACAATCATATATACCTGTACCTGTAGATAATTCTCTGGACTAACAATTTGTGGCATGCTTAATTTTCTTTGAGAATTTAATCTCAAAACATTCAAACATCTGGTAAGTGTTGAATCAAAGCTGTATGATAAAGTCAAACGGATCAGGGCAAATCTTACCTGACAAGAGGCAGTGGGTTTCCTGTGACTCTGCACTCCAGACGAATGGGACTCCCTTCTGCCACTTCCTGACTCTTCAGCTTCTGGAGAAACTGAGGAGGGGACAGAGGTCCAGATGATGATGGAACTTCAGAATGTTGGTGCCCCTTAGGGGCCGTCTGTCTCACTGGTCCTCCTGGGTGATGACCCACTTCTGTCAGGCTGATATGAGCATCTTCCACTTGGCCAGGAGGCAGGAAGGGAGTGGAGGCTGAGCCCTGAGGAACCGGCCTCTGGCCTCTTGGAGACAGATACCCACTATCAGGAGAGGAAGACTCCTCCTCCAGCTGCTGCTCTGAATGAGAAGAACTTTTAAAAATGGACGACAACTCCTCAATGAAAGTGGCAGCTCGGCTACAGAACTCTGTGGCTGAGGCAGCTCGATCATTCAGCTCCAGGCCTTGGTGAACCAGTCTGGGTTTATCCTGCTTATACACTGGTTGGGCGGGTTTGTGACGGATGACCTTCTCAGTAGAGGACAGAACTTCGTTTGACACTGGTTTGTTAAGGGAGAGGTTCTGGCTGGATGAAACTGAAACTGCTGCACTATCATCTGGGCAGAGGGGGTTGGTCTGGAGCTGCAGGTTTGTGTTTGTGTGGAGATGTTCATTAGTTTTTGGAGGCACAGAAATTGATGAGACAAATTGGAGAGCCTGCTCCAGTTGTGTCAAACTAAAAGGGTCTGCTTCTTCACACTCACATGTCTCACCAAAGGCCTCCTGGGCCAGGTCCAGGCTAAGATTAATTTCCTCAGCAGTCAGGAAGGCAGTAAGATCTGCAATGTTTCCATCTCCTAATCCCTGCTCTGGCACTGAGTCAACATAGAGCTCTCCATCAGAAGAGGCCTCTGAATACACCCCCCCATCTCCCTCTAATGTCCCGCCAGCTGCCGGGTCCTTTTGCAGCACAGAAATGGGGAGTGGCTGGTTCCAACTCCCGTCCTGCATCCTGAAATGCACATTAACCAAAAAGTTTCAACTTTATTCTTAAGGCAGAAAATTATATAATAAATTCTCAGTCATCAAGGACATAGTAAATCCAGAAAACTGAAAAACAAACAACTGGACTTCTATTTTGTAGTTGAAAAGGATTCACTTCCCATCTGGAGAGCTTTCTCAATTAAAAAAAAACTGAAGCGGGTAGAGGTCCAATCTCTTAAACTGCATGGAATGCTCTGTTATATAAATTATGCAGATTAAACTCACTCTGTTCACAATGAAGACTCTTCTTTGTTAAATGGCTTTTTAGAAATATTTGTATATTTAAAATAGCAATATTTTGGATCACAAGTCTCTGCAACTTTTAATGTAAACATTTGGAACCACACTTAGACAACTTCAACAAACCAACCTGGCGAAAGTTTTTGTACCGCAAATCAAATTTACAGAGTACGCATGAGTTTCCTTTAGTCACCAGATACATCCTTACACTAAAAGTAACAAACAACTCATCACACTTACATTTAAAAAGTTGAAGACATATGTTTTTATCAAGTCTTAAAGTCTTCAAAGTCAATTCCCCCCCCCCCCCCCACACACACACCTCATAAACTGAGTGATGTAAAGTTATGGTCTGAATGTATAATTTAATAATAATTTTAGAATGATTATAATAATAATAATAAAATAATAATAATATAAAAATTTCATAATAACAATAATAATAATAAAATATAATAATAATAATAATAATTTTAAATAATTTTGGAATAATTTTGGGTTTTCAATTACCTAATTGACCTCTAAATCTGAAGCCATGCTTTTCTGACGTAAAGGGTAGATGGCCCTTTCCAGTTTTGGACAAAGGTGCTGCCTCTAGGGGAGGAGTTTGGATATCTTGGGGGTGGGGGTCACAAGTGAGGGAAGAATGGATTATGAAAACATCCTACTGTGCCAGGGTGGAATGAATATACAACATTAAACTTAAATGATTTCAAAACATAATAAAATAAGTGGCAGTTATGAATTTATTTCCTGTCCCCTACACTGAGTCAAAATGCACAGGCTCATTACATAATTCATGTAAATCTTGGTACAATAAAGGGGTTGCTGAAGGTTTTAGGATATTTTTTAACTTGACAAGCCCTAATAATGTTTCTTCATCACAATTCACTGCAGCTGCTAGTTTCTCTTTACAAATATGTTAACGGTTTGTTTGACAGCGCTCTTCGGATTGACCAAAACAAAGGAAAGATCCAAAGAACCTAACGAAAACTTAAAAATTTGCAGGAGTTGGTAAGGATGTTTGAAAACAACCCAGAAACCACCAAGGTTCAAGCCTGCCATGTAATGGAAATTGATGGAGCTGAACTGGTTGCAGACCCTGCTCCAAAAGTGACACCTTTAAGCTCAAAGGACAAGCCAGATGCTTTATAAAGAAAATTATATGGTCAGACAAGACAAAGACTGAGACATTTGGCCACACTGACAAGAATTATGTTTGAAGAAGACAAGGTGAGGTTTTCAAACCTAAGAACCCCATACCACTGTCAAGCATGGTGGCGGCAGCATCATGCTGTAGTACTGCTTTGCACAAAATGGATCAAATAATGAAGAAATACTATCTCCAGATTTTTCAACTTGGGCTCCAAACATCAGGTAAAAATGAGCCCTAGTAATTTTGCAGAGAAGAGTGGTCAAGGGCAGCACAGTGGCGTAACTGCTAGAGCTGCTGCCTCTCAGCGAGCAGGTCCCCAGTTCAAATCCCAGTCCGGGAGCCTTTCTGGGTGGAGTTTGCATGCTCTCTCCGTGCATGCTTGGGTTTTCTCCGGGTACTCCAGTTTTCTCTTACAGGCTAAAAACATGCATATTAGGCTGATTGGGGACTCTAATTGTCCCTTGAGAGTGAGCGAGAATGGTTGTTTGTCTCTATGTGTCCCAGTGATGGACTGGAGACCTGTCCAGGGTGTACCCCGCCTCTCACACAGTGATGGCTGGACATGGGCACCAGTAACCCCCGCGACCCGAAAAAGAATAAGCGGGTAAAGATAATGGATGAATGGATGAAAGAGTGGTCAAATATCAGCCCAGAAACTAATGGTGATGGATGCAAAACCTGTGTGTGCTAAGGGGTATTGATTTGAGCCTGTTTGTATTATTTTACCTTGTGCAGAAAAAAAACACAACAATTTCTAATTTTCACATCTGCTTCTTGTTTTTAAATAGTATTAAAATTGTATGTTATATAATCATTCCACCCTGGGAAAAAAAACAATTCAAACATTAAATCTTCAAATGAACATTATTTATGCAGATGATGACTGAATGTAAACCTCTGACTGCAAGTGGGTGAGATGTTGTGAAACTGTTGGTGTGGATGTTAGATGTAGTGTGACACTGAGTGCCTCATGGTGGCCTGAAGACCAGCTGTTATTTTTAATCCCCCTGAGCTATGTTTCACTGCAGCCCCACCCTCCCCGACTATAGAGGAGGTTCAAACACCACACACACAGGTAGAACATGTATCAAAGAAATAAACCCAGAAAATGTCTCAGAAGGCTTTGATCATTTGAAATAAGTGATAACATATCTGAATTTTACAATCTTCTTATGTTTTAGATTTAAGTTTGTACTGTGGATATATCTTGTACAGTACAATAAAATAATTGATTTCATTTGATACAAATAAAAAATGAAGACCTAATGACTCCTGACAGAACATGATGCTGTGTGACATGTAACTTCACCTCTTGTTCATAAAGGCACAACTTTTAAAAATGATGTTCATATTCAATTATTTACATTTGATCCAACTAAACCCTAAATACAGTTAATTAAAAACAGCAATCATACCTTCAAGTGTACTGTTTGTCCAAATGTTCTTTCTTGATTTACTAGATCCAGGATTTGTCTTATTTTATCTGAAAAAAAACCCCCCAAAAAATAAATTTCAAAAAGCTTCACCTCATGCTCCAGCAGAGCAACCTTGTTGGTCAGACAGTTGGCAGGATCTCTCAGGTTCAGCCTTCGGTTGCGTACTGCCACTGCAGTGGTCTGCTGTCCCATCTGTGCTGGTCCCTAACTGCTCACTGTGTGGGGCTATATTTGGCCCCTGGCTCAGGTTACACAGCCAGACTACTGGCAGGATGAGATAAGACTATAATAATCTAGGAGAACAGAAGGTGCTGCTAACATTTTTGGTGTTTGTTAATTAAATGCAGCAAGTGTAAGTTGCTCTCATGTGTGAAACTTTTATTATGAGCATGTAAAACTGGAATTATTGTAATAAAGTAGTCCCTCACTACTTTGTGGTTCATTTTTCGTAGACTCGCTCTATTGTGGTTTTTCAAAGTAAGATTGGACATGACACACAACTGGCTGATTGACAGATGAGCCACACGATCAGCATGATTTTAAAATTTAAAATAAACTATTTTAAATGATTTAGCACCTGTGTGCAACCCACAGCTGTGGGATAACTTCTTCCTGCAGCTGTTCAGCTGATCTTTGCTCTGTATGGAGATCAGCTGATCTCCGTGCAGAGAGGAGAAGTGGGCGTGGCCGAGAATGCAGCCATAGGCAGAGAGTTGAAATCATGACATTCTGTGCTCTTTAAAAACATTTAGAGTTTAGAAACATTGTTTAGAATATTGCAAGATTATGGGAAGGGTATAAAATATATTTATATATTATTTATTTTATATATATATTATATTCTCAATCTACCCAGTAGAGTTACCACCTGAGTTATGGCTAAACCCAAGGCCGGAGTGGCACCCTAAACCTCATTCGGCTATATGCTCCCTCTGTTCCCCAGCTTGGAGACGGACTGCATGGTGCCATCTGTCCAGCACCATTTTCGTCGCTGCCGACACATCTGGTGTCAAGCCAAGGCAGCCCTGCTCCATACTGCGGCCCAAAACAAGAGGCTCGCCGATCACCACCGCTCTATGGCGCCTACATACCAAGTTGGACAGAGAGTATGGTTGTCCACCCAGGACATCAACCTAAAGAACACTCCCCGAAAGATGGCACGCCGCTTCATTAGTCCCTTCTCCATCTCCAAGATCATAAATCCCTCTGCAGTAAGACACCAGCTCCCTAACGCTATGAAGATCCATCCTACGTTCCATGTCCCCCAAATTAAGCCTGTCTCCGTGAGCCCTTTTGTTCTCCCTCCGACCTCCCTTCACCGCCCAGCCTGATTGACAATCACCCTGTGTTGACGGTAAGAACCATCCTGGACGTGCGGCGCAGAGGTAGAGGTTTCCAGTACCTCATCGATTGGGAGGGGTACAGCTCAGAGGAGAGGTCTTGGATCCCATCCATCCATCCATTATCTTTTACCCACTTCTTCCATTTTGGGTCATGGGGGTCTCCCGTGCCCATGTCCGGCAATCACAGTGCGAGGGTGGGGTACACCCTGGACGGGTCGCAAGTCCATCACAAGGCCACGGGGTCTTGGATCCCTAGGTCATTTATTTTGGACCCCAGCCTAATCACCTCCTTCTTCAGGAACCACCCCGAGAAACGCCTCAGGTCGCCTGGGGGCGATTCTTGAGGGGGAGGTATTGTAAGAGTACCACTGCCTGCAGCTCCTCGTCCAAGATGGCCACTGATTATCTACGGCTGACGGCCATCGACTTGACGAGGATCATCTCCTACTTAACGCTGCAGTCCAGTGTTACTCTTCGCTGGAGCATTGACCATCAATGGTATTTGTGCCTCCGGCCTGTACGTTTACATTAAGTAAATCTACTTACCAGCTTTTCATGTCCTCAGTGATCCTGTCTCCTCGGTCCTGGTTCCCTTGGTCCTGTCTTGGTTCCCTTGCCCACAACTCTGAGAACTTTACTAATTGGCTTTTCTGTGTATGTAAATGTTTCTGTTCAATGCCCTGAGACAACTTTGTTGTGAAGTGGTGCTATATAAATACCAGTAAACTGAATTGAATTGAAGTGTCACTTCTCAACAAAAATATTATTTTTGACCTTGGATAAAACAGACCTTAGGAACCTCTCATGCTCACTTGGTCTATTTCCAGTCCACTATCACATTTTATTTTCCCTGAGCTATTTTTGGTGCTTCTTCAATCTACTGATTACAGTTAAGAGCTGGTGGGAGGTCCACAGGAATTTTTCTCATTCCACTGTCATCACACAAGCATGTACAAAAATCTATTACCCAACATTTTTCAGTCAGGTCATCTGGACAGTTTTTTTTTTTGTGCTGAAACGTTTCGCCTTCGATCCGGAAGGCTTCATCAGTCAAGGAAACACACAACACAAAACTGATTCTTCCCCCAACAACTTACTCAAAAGTGGGACAAACCAGTTATGTTGGTGCTAAGATGGTGTCTTTGGCACGCCCCCTCCTCCATTGCCGGCCCTCTTCCTTGTTGACAGTCATGTCAAACTGGTTGAAAACAACAAAGTCCATGCTCAATAATCCAGGTATACAATCCAACATTTTTCAGACAGGTCATCTGGAAAGTTTTTTGTTGATTATTGAGCATGGACTTTTTTGTTTAAAAATCTTAAATTTTGAAGACCTAGATTTATTTGAAGAAATGCATTTTGCCCACCGCTATTCAAGCCAGATTTTAAGATCATTTCTTTATAAGAAATGATGAAGTTGTAGTTGTTTTGGTCAGACCGTGAAAATACCATAATGCACAAGTCGTTAGAGCTCCAAGTATGTGTTGTAAATGACTCTCAGCTACTATTAGCCCTAATTTTAGTTCAATATCTATAAACTAATTGTAGTTTAACCATTTTTGTGCAAGATCTGTTTGTTGGGACAGCTGTCTTGAATTCAATTGACTTCAAAAGTTAAACCGTTGTAGGTGAACATCCACTTTCTGAGTTTCATTGAAATCCATCCAGTGTTTCATAAAATATTTTGATGACATGAATATCAGATGAACACATAAACACATACAGACACAACATAGCCTGCACGCCACCTCTCAATGATGAGCGAGAATGAGCAATCTGAATATATTGCTGGATTATGCTAGTGAAGATTCTCAGTCATCCAAGACATGATGAATTCAAAAAGCGTTCAATACAAAAACAACTGGACTTTATTTGTAAAAGAACCATCATCCACTGGAACACAAACTCTCTGTCATCATAACTTTACAACATCGGGCCGAATGCGTCCCCACGAAGACAGAAGGTAAGGAAAAGGAACAGAAACACATTCAAGAAGCTCTTCAAACATGTGGATATTCTAACTGGGCTTTTGTCAAGTCAGTGAGGAAATCTACAAAACACACTAATAAACAGAAAAAGGAGAACAGCAGACGTAAAAACATTGTCATCCCTTATGTTGCTGGAGTATCAGACAAATTCAGAAGGATCTTCAACAAACACAAGATCCCAGTACATTTCAAACCCAGCAGGACTCTCAGACAGAGGCTGGTCCACCCTAAAGACAAAACACCCATACATAAACAGAGGGGTGTAGTGTATGCGATCCAGTGCAGCGAGGACTGTCCAGACCTCTACATTGGAGAAACTAAACAGCCTCTTCACAGACGCATGGCTCAACACAGGAGAGCCACCTCCTCTGGACAAAATTCAGCTGTTCACCTCCACCTCACAGATAAGGGACACTCTTTTAAGGACCAAAATGTGCACATTTTGGACCGAGAACACAGATGGTTTGAGAGGGGGGCGAAGGAAGCAATTTATGTAAAAAGAGAAAAGCCGTCTCTTAACAGAGGAGGAGGCCTCAGATTTCCACTTTCAAAAACCTATAATGAAACTTTAAAACAGATTCCCAGCCGGTTTTCACACCTGATGGGAACAGAGGGGCCTCGTCTGTGAATTAGAGGAACAAAAGACTCTTACTGTTAAGGTGTTTAGGTGTGAATTGCCAATCTGCCAATGTGTATGTGTCTTATCTCACTCAGCCTTATAACCTGAATCTCTCACTCTCTGCTCTTTGAATTGAGAAAGCTCCTCGGATGAGGAGCGAAACGTCTTCTGTTACAAATAAAGTCCAGTTGTTTTTGTATTGAACGCTTTTTGAATATTGCTGGATTACACTGAATAATTTTCTGATGAGGAGCTGTGCTTGAAATGTCACTTGGGGTAAATAAATAAGCCAAAGGTGAAGTGATGCAGTGTGTAAGTCGTTTTTTTTTTTAATCTCTGCCCTATGAGTTCCTGCCATGGCTAAGCACCTGCTGTCGATTCAAACTTAGACGTTTGATTTTGTTCTAGTAGTAGTAGTTTATATATCAGAACAGAGATTTTTGTTTTCTCATACCAGGCGCTCTCACTGCTATCCCCACAGAGATCAGAGTTCACACATCCAGACTAAATTACATCCATTGTATCTGACCTCGGAAATTTATTTTCAAAACTGGAAGTCTACCCAGTGCAGCTGTCGTCAGTGACAGCTGATTAATACAAACCATGCCTAAGAATGAGTTATCATTTTTTGTTGTACTCTTAAATGCCACACAGGGATCTTTTTTTTTCTCCGTGAGCTCAGTTTAAGTGTAGAAACATTGTGAAGTGTTTCAATGAACTTATCATCATCGCTCCATTGTTGTTGTTTTTTTTTTTAAAGAAAGAGAAGAAAGAAGAAAAAAAATAAAAGAGAAATAGATAAAACGAGAGACCACCACGACAAAACAACATGCACAGCACAATGCCACCCACAATATCCCCATGAAACATTTGACATGGCACAAGGAATCATCTAGCTTCCACCACTACCCAACCTAGCGTGCATCTGTCAAAGCACCTGAATCCAAACACCCGCGCAAGCACGCCCGCCACCACCAGATTTCTCCAAAAGAATGCCCAATAGTGGATGCGGGGGCCCACAGACCCACCTCCCCAGGACACAATGGCAACACAGGGAGGACCGGAGCCACAGACACACAGCGGCCCCCAGGCCCTGAGCCCCAGGAGTCTCCCAACAGGGAGAACCGCACCCCCCCAGAGAGGAGCAGAGGAAAGAACCGGGTGACCCCAGCAACCACAATGCAGAGCCTCCAGGAAGCTGCAGCGACGAGCCCACAGGTCCGGCC